ATGCGTACGGTTCGAACGGTTCAATATCGATACGAGTATCGTTGTACCCCTACTAATTACATCTAAGAACTTTCCACACATTCAAAGTTAAGTAGATTCCACTGACATGTGTTCATGTCGTCAAGAAACTGAGGCACTTTTCCTACACTGACATCTTTTAGAATGCAGCTACTTTATTTTACACTAAATGTGACATCCTGTTTTGTTTTGTTTTTTTAAAAAAGAGAAAAAAAAGTTGTGTCAAATGTAATTAAAAATACAATTTAATGATTTGTAAAATGCCAAATGTTGTCTAGCAGAGCATTGCTGAAATGAGCAACAGTTTTCTGGATGACAGTGTATTGCTCCAAAACCTGGATGTGAAGCTGTGCAAGTTATCCATGCCATGTGCCCACTGAAAACGACTCCCTGTGGTCTTTAGGTTGGAGGCTGTGGATTTTTCCAACTGTCTGAGTCCATCATAAACGAGAATAATCCCAGAGATGTTATATTCAAAGTTGTTTTGTATGATCACAACCATTTAATACTATTTTTGATGGTGCTATTAAAACTAACACATTTGTTTTTGTATGTCTTCACACTAATGATTCTCTTCTCTTTCCATTTCCCTTTTTATTTTCTCTGCTTCTATTTTCTTTTGTACAAGCATGGACAACAGGAAATTCAGACCTCTCTACCGATCTGTAGATAGTTTTCCATGTGCTTCTGTAGAGCACTTTGTTTGTCAAGTAAAGTATATTTCTAACTTTGTTAGCATGAGGGTTAAATCTTCATAACTTCAAACGCGTGTGAGAGCATCAGTAACATTACCTCTCTGTCCCTGAGAACAGCCTGAGTCCTGTAAAGCAGCAGAAGACGAACGTCACCGTCTCCAAGGCTGAAGTTACTCTCCAGAATTTGCAGCACGTCGATGCGAGGCCGCACAGGCAGAGACGCGTCACCGCAGAATGGACGCAGCCAAGCCAGGAGGTCATCTGAAGTGACGTTACTGTCACTGCAGAAGGATTTGAGAGGGAGGTTGACAGCAGGCAAAGTGAGGTACAGATAAAGAGACAGAGATTGAGAGACAAGGTGTAGAGTTCACACTAAGATGTCTGAATGTTACCAAGTAGTTCACTTGTTTCATTCAAGAAACAAGAAATTGCCTGTTAGACAGATTGCACAAAGATTTGAGGACGTTAAACTGAGCTGTAGGAAACTGAGTATGTTATTCTGTTGGGTTTTTTTTTACAAACTAAATGATTCAACTATAGCTACAGTTACGTTGTGTCAAAGTTGTCAAATTTACAGAAATCTTCGATCGCTAGCAATGTGACTCTGAAGTGCTGTATCTTTGTAAGTTTTCTCCCCAACAAACACAACAATGTCGATGAAACGTTTTGCACCGTCAAAGATACCTGTGGTAGCACCCAAAAGGCAGAGGACGATGTTAACCGTCGCACAAAAAGTTGGACTTCTGGACATGCTAAAGGAAGGTAGAAGTTACCGTATTTTTCGGACCATAAGGCACGCCGCATTATGAAGCACATTAAGCGTAACAAAACAGTCAGATACGTCAAACTTTACTCAACTCATTCTTCTTGCTTCCCCTACTTCCGTACCGTTGATTCATTAACCTCCTAAGACCCAAACTCTTCCACGACATGCATTTTTAATTTCTCCTTGATATTTGGGGATGTTGAGGCCCAATTAATGTAAAAACAAAGAATTACCAGATTTTTTTTAACCTTTTTTTTTTAAAGAAAAATAAGAGCCACATATGACGATATTTGTTTAAAATTTTGATAGAACAGTAGCAGTATAAAGTCCTCGTAAGTAGAAATCAGGCCCATGTTGAGCAAAATTGAGTATTTTGGTCTAAACAACCCAAAATGTGATGTCCACATATGTGGACGCCAGGTCCTAGGAGGTTAATGTTGAATTCTCTCGCAGCTGCTCTATTCCCACGTTCCCACCCTGAAAACAGGGTTTGATCTTTGGTTTCATTCTATAATACCGACTTATTTTTCTACGAAGGTTTAAACTTTGAGGGTCTTTAAACAAGAGAGAAAAGTATGAAAATGTTCATACTTGTCTGAGAAAAATGTATAAAGTGTGTAGGGAGGGGTTTTACAGCCTTAAACCATCTATAATAATTGTAAAAAATTAAAGTTGACTACTTCGCGGATTTCACCTATCACATGTAATGAAATGTGCCATATAAATAAAATTACCATTAATACTGAGATGACTTAACAGTAAAATGGGAAATTTTAACACTTCCGCTTTACATGATGTAAACGCTTCAAAACAATTAAGAAATTTATCATTAATTAAGAAAAACAGCAAATGTCTGTGAATTCAAAGGTTTCTCCAATAGTGTAGTGGTTAACACTTTTGCTTGGCAAGCGGAGGTTTCCAGCCGGAAATTCACTTTGGGTTTGGGTCAGGAAGGGAATCTGTGAAAAAAGAGTTTGCTATAGTGGGTAGCTCCATATGTTTATCTTTGGTTATTACATTGAATAGAATACCAACAATAACAACAAATAGTTTAGGTTATCTGTGACGAACTCTAGCATGTAACAGGCTATATGTTATGTCTTTGTCAGTAAGAAGAAGTTAAAGGTCTACTATTTATGCCATTCTTCTTTGAAATTTCACATTTTCCAAAGTAATGCAGTGGGCATGACTGCACTATGATGCATTAATTTAAGGTTCTTTTGTCACAGATCCCTTGTTTTCATGTGCCTTGTTTGTCTTTTGGTCATGAAAAAGCTGACCAGGGTACAATAGATGCTGTCAAAATGTTTTCATCGTCAAAAAGAGCTACAAGACAGGCTGCCAGGTGCCTTTTGTCAATTTATCTTCATTTATTTATCAGACATTTAACTGATATTTAACACTCAGCAGGTGTTAATTTCACCCCTTGAATAGAACTGAAAAGATGCAGAGTGCAAAGAGAGGGTGACAAAAGCTGAAGAAAATCTTTAAGGCTTAGTTGATTTACACAAAACTCAAAATACAAGCGATTAAGTGCTCTGACATTGGCTGTGTGAGGACAGTTTAGTTTAGGGACTACAAAGGAAATCAGAGAATGGGTCACTGTAAGTATGTTGTATGAGATGACAGATGTAACCTACCCACTCTGCACACTGTTGTGCACAGCAGTCACCATGGCCTCCAGGACCCTGAGGGGTTGTGGGTAATTTGTCAGGGCGCATGGGTCTCCACTGAAAAACAAACCACATCACCATGATCATCTTACATAATCAGCTAATTAAGATAAGATTTTCAAATTAGCACAATGTCAAGGGACAGCAACTTAAAAAAAAATATCAAAGGCTTCCTTCTCAGGGACGGTGTTAGTTAAAAATGTGTCTGGCGGCAATTAAATGTTTGAAGGTAGTGAACCTTTGTTAAATTAACCATCATAAAATTATTTCAAGTCTTACAGACAAGATGAAACAGAAAAAAAAAACCCATTAATAGCCATCTCCAATGTGACAAGCTCATCGAGTCCGGTGGAAATTTAAAAGAACACGTTAATTTTAATAATTTAAAGATGATAAAAAGAGGCGTAATGAGATGAGGTTTAAATCCACATAATAGTAGGTAAGCTTAAGAAGGTACATCATTAGTGCATTTGTAGAGTGGCTCTGGGTGCTGCTGTATATGTGTGTGCGCACCATATGTTCACAGGCCATTTTTCACAACGAAAGAAAGAAACAAAGAGGGAGGGAAAAAAGGTGATTTCCCCCGACTCACTTCCACTTTTCTGCTGGAATTGTATCCATACACATACACAAACGAACGTATGCCCCGGCCAATGCATATAACTGCCTACAAACACACACACACACACGCTTTATACGCACACAACATACAGATGATCTGGGCAAGAAGTGGAAAGATGACGCAGCATTTTCTTTATTGGATTTCACTACTTACATTTTGAATTTAAACACACACAAACAAAGCAGTTATGACAGATACAAAAGACGGCTATTAGTGTGAGGCTCAGGTATGCCTGCTGTACCAGACTCAAGGCTTTGAGAGAGCCAAAAACAAGACCGCCTCATTCATAACTGCCAAACACAATGCTTCAAGAAAGCCCCGAAACTACAGACACGCACGCTCGCAGCCACACGCAGTCGACGCATAAAGGGATATTCATAATGTAAGAACACGGAGTGGCGTGTTCAAGGCAAAGAAAACCCCCAGATAATAAATAGGGCTCTCTCTGTGTGCAGTCCTGCACCTGACACACACACCCAGACTCTGTGTGTGAGTGTGTGTGTGTATGGGAGCGGAGTGAGATCTGGAGGGGAACAGCTGTATCAGGCTGCATTAATTATAAAAAAGATAATGAATCAGAGAAAAGGGAAGAACATGTGCACGCAATAAAGTGTGTATGTGTGTGTGTTCATTAGGGATAATGACCTCCAAGTCTATACAAATACAAATGTGTGTGTGAGTGCCTGTGCATGTGTGTGTGTCTGCAGATTCAGGTGCCATTTATCTGAAGCATGCACCATTGAACAGCTATAAAAAAAAAGCTGGAAATGAGGCAGGATTATAATCACAGCGGGTGATACTCGTTTATCAAGCCAATCAGATGGCCTGATGATATCTGGTTTTGTCAGTTAAACCCTGCTTGCTGGTCTGCCTGTCTGAGCAAAAAGGAAAATCATTAAAAAAAAAAAATCATCTTCCAGTATGTTAAATCAAAACAACTCTCTATAATGGGTTTTAGCTCACTTCTTCTCAAGAAACTAAGTAACAAACATATACATGTATTCGTTGGATGTTATACAATGTTATACAAAGTGTTTACCGCGGCCCTTCCATCTAGCACATCTGCAGACACATCTTGGTGAATCATCTCTGCCTTCCTTTTGAATTCTGGGAGCAGGAAAACACCAATAAAAGACTGTGAGCCCAACTCCCACAGGCAGCTACTGCAGATTCAGTTCAACACTTCAGGCATTTGTTTTGACAGTGTTCTTCCCACCAACATGCTCAGCCCAAAGTGGACAGATATATATACAGTATATTTTCAGATAACAACCAACAAAGATCAGGTCATAGGTGGTGTCAGCAGGTGGCGCACAGTATGTTTAAAAGCCTGCTTTTGAGCTGAATGTAGACACTTCGCTTTATCTGGATAGTTATAAAAATACATTAATTTTTCCATACAATCTGCACTGACAGATAATGAAAGGGCTACGTGGAGATGATAATGTTGTTTGGCAAGGCGCAACAGCGAATGTGAAAAAAAAAGATTAAATTAGCACAAAAGGGAGCCACACGTTGCAACCTGACATCTTAAATTGTCCTCCTTCCTTTATTCTGCTTGTCACAGCTGGTGGTATGTTTGATAGTACACAGCACACAAGACTACTGTACAACTGTTATTTTTCAACACTGTCCTAATATTAACAATTTTCTGAACAACTTGGGACTAACAGGGGGTCTAGCGCTGTGCAACACAATCTATGATTTACAAACACAAAAATAATCACTAGCTTCAGACGTCAGGCGGAGAATTTTTTTGACTTGAATTGAAGCTTGAGATTTATATATTGTTTATTCATTTGTTTATTTTTGCTATTTTAGCTAGGCTGCGGTAAAGAATTTGATTGCAGTAAGAGGTGTGTAGCGGTTTGATCTCTTTGTACAGGTTTCTGTATGTGATTCTTTTGGCTCTCGGTGGAGGCGGACGCACTTTTTCTCCTCTCCC